AAGGCGACCCGAGACGCGCCACCCTCTCGCCCGGGACGGAAATGTTTCGGTATAGAAAATGCGCACGTCATTTGAAAATATTTTTGGTCACGACTGCCTCGGTCGTATGTCCCGACGGACGTACGGTCAGAGCAAGTCGTAAGTACCAATGGACGTAAGTCCATGTGGTCGTAAGTCGGGGACTACCTGTATATAGGAACTAACCCACGAGCGAGTTATTTTTCTTACTTTTTATTTTCTTTCAGTATTTTCATCCGTGAGTTGTGATATGATAATCATTTCTTGTGGAAATTGTTCGTTTCATGGATAATTAATTAGGCGACTAGGCGCGCACTAGTTTGTCTTGCGTGTCTTGCCAGCGGTAATGAGGCAGCACTCAAGAGAGGAGTCTCGTCTCTTCCCCGCGGCAGTTTCATTTTCATTATGACGTGTGAAGGTTGTCGCCGGTCTTATATGGACGTAATTTGCGAATTTAGTGATAAAGACAACGAGACCCCTAAAGTTTTTCAAAGATCTCGGCATCATTCCTTTAAGTTGAAAGTAATGTTCACAGCAATACTGTGAAATAGAACTGAATTTGTGTGCTAAGTCAGTTGTTGTTTGGAAACAATCATCCATCACTTCATTGACGCTGTGGCTCGCTTTTCCCGCCATCTCGATAACAAATCACTCCGCTGCCCTGGTTCAGTAAGCGCCGATACATCTCACGTCCAGAAAATGCCTCAAATTTCAACATATCACGTAGTTCTTCCTGTTTAATATACCGCCCCCTGGTAGGGAAGTTAGGTAAGGTTAGTTGTTTGGTTACTTTGGTTAGGTCTGTTTTTCATACCCACAAATGATAAGTAACGTTTATTTTTAAAATATAAATTTTTAACATATTTCCACAAACTACCAGTGTCCACTGTAATGTAACAGTGAAAATCTGGCATTTTAATAATTTTTTTAAATCAATTTCGTTTGAACACAAGTAAAATTGTAGCCCCCCCCCCTCCCCCCCCCTGGTAAGCAAATGTTATTTGCGGCCAGTCTGAGAACGTAGCCCCTGCGAATTTCAAGGGCATGCTGTACCAGTAAATGTGAGGGAAAAAAAAATTATAGTTTCGCAATACAGGTACAGGTTGTACCTGTACCTCTCTAGTCCGGCAACCTCGAGATGTGACCGGTGCCGGACCATGGAAATTCACCCTTTTCCTGGATAGATAGTGGCTTGTGCTTACGCTTGGAAGCACTAGCACTACTTTCACTGCTTCATGGTCTCTTTGAAGATATATTGAAGGGTTAAATGTTGTACAGTAGGTTCTCAAATTTTGGGAGTTTTTAATTCGACATTTTTCATTTGGACACTGTTACGCCGTCTCTTAATTTACTTAAATATCCAGGTTCTAGGCGTATCCAAACAAAAAAAAGTGAAGTAAATCAAAAGGGAATGAAAATAAATAAAGTAAACCTTTAAGAATTTAATTAAATTAAATTCTAACACAATAAAGAGCCTCGTAGGCTGTCACAACAAATTGATTCACTATCGAAACCTTTAAGACACAAAAGATACTAAAACATCGAAACAGGATTACGTTAACACTGCATAAACATATAAAATAACTAACACTAAAATTAACTATCGTGAAACAACACTGAATTACTTAAATGTAACTAAGCAAGCACTAATGGACACATAAGAGACATAAATAGGTACTCAGATAGATATACCACATTGGTGGCGACAGGAACAACACAGAAATAAAATGAAGTACAGTATAAGTAACAGGTGACGGGTGTCACTCAAATGAACGTGAACCGAATGACAAGAGGACTGGACTGAACTCTGTCTGCTAGTGGAGTACTATATATAGGGTCGGCTCCCGCCAATACGACCCACCGGTGAAACATGGGTCGTTTAACGATGCAGATGGTCGTTACAGAAACAAAAAATGCTTGTTACAATACTAAATGAAGAAATAAGATGGGCTTGAACAAATAATAACAGTTAAAACCATAACAGCACAGGGTAAGGTGACTAGATTATATAATAGTAAATATAACACATCATTACAGGAATAATACGGAACAACATGGAAGCATGTTATAAAAAATAATAGAAAAAGTACGACACGGTCGTAACAACACACACACAAAAAAAAACTACGCTAGTTAAAACTTTGACGGCGGAAACTCGAATTTCAACAGGTTTTAGCGGGCCGCCAACGTTCAGACGTGCACAAATCGTGTAAACAGTGTCATTTCTCTTATGTACAAAAGATTTATTATTGTTTATTACTGAATGTCTTTTTGATTCAGTTAATTTTTATGTGTGCAAAATGAACAATACAATTCATTAATAATATGTAGAATATTAAAACACACTAGGAAACGAGATGGGATTGTTTTCGTTGATTACAAAACCCGTGACTGTCTGGATCTACATATAAAACTGAAGAAAATAAGACCCTGGTTGTAGCTGTTGTAAAATTAATGTAGTAAAATTAATATGGTTATTTTAAGTAATGTTATTTAATGTTAATAAATGGAACAATATAAGTAACTAACCATTAATGGTTAAGGAAACAAGTGAACTCACGTATGTAAGTGGACACATGTGAAAACATATCGTCATTACTATACCTAAGAATATGAAAGCAACACTTATTTACTGTTCATATATATTTTAATTAATGATTCTGAGTTTAAAACAAAAATTCTACCCACCAGTGGTGGTAAAGTTGAAAACATAAGGTCAGCCAATGTTGTTGTGTGTGTTTTTACTTGGATGACGTATGCTCAACTCAGCTGAAGCTGTAGAACATAAGAGCTTTTTCTGTGTTGTTTTTAGTTTTTATTTAATTTTATCTGTGTTATTTTCATTGGTTTATTAGGATGCTGCTTTATTACAGGTAGTAATTCGCCAAAAAAGTAGGGTAAATAAGGCAAAATTTTGCCAAACATCGAAAGTACCAGACTCAAATTAATTTTCTCCATGGGCAAACTAAAATCGTTCGGACCACGGGAGTTTCCGGACCACAGAATGCCGGACTAGAGAGGTACAACCTGTACTAGTTTCACTACTTGTGGGAGACTGGAGCTGCTGAGATCTCCAATACTACTCCCTCCTCCCACAATCTGAGTGCAAACTACCGCCATGCACATAAGAGAGTTTATACCCTTTATGTTTTTGACTTCATGAAAATAACTTTTTTTTCACATTTTGTATGAATGATTATGTGTGCATATAACAGAGTAAAAAAATGAAGAAAAATAACCACCTGAAAATACAATTTGAAAAATAACGTTGACACAGCTCACAGTTTGGCATGGTAGTGGGAGGTTGAGATCCTTGATGCTACACCCCTTTCTTGCTCTCCCCTTTCCCTTCCAGTGCTTGAATTTTGATTTTTGGAAAATTAATTTGAAACAATGCAAGGTAAATCATAGTTTGTTCCCTAATCTGTCAGTAATGGTTAAGGAAAAAGACTTACCTGTACTATAATTAGGATCAACAAAAATATGGTAGAGGATTTACTGTACTTTCAGTACCCAGCCACTCTCTCAATGTCATGTTACACATCCATCTCACAATTGCTTTATCAACTTGCATCGGCCAGTTTTGCATAATTATGATGTTTTGCTCATTGCCGTTACACCACCTTTGGGTGATATTCCACATTAAATTAGCACATTGAATTAGATAAAACATTAATGTTTTCTTTTACAGAATAGTGTAAAATACATAATATTGGTCTGTGTGGGTGAAGTTTCAAACTGATAGTTCACCTGTTAAATCCATCATGGAGCACTGAACAATGCTGGTATTTCTTAGGTAATACAAGTTTGCATAACAATTTAGATTTTACAGTATTGACCAATTAGGGAACACCTTTTCTAGAAAAACAAAATCCATTTCCGGTTTAACACGTTTAGTAAAATAGATGTGTTCTAGACATGTCGTGGACAGAGTATCTTCATGTTCTCCAACTCCCCAATACTGTACTGGGTTCTACCTTGTCCTCCATTCACCTTTTACACACTTTGAACTGTATTGATTTATTAAACTTAGCTGTTCTTTCTTTCCTTTACCAGTGACCCCCATTACAATCGTGAGTGCAAAGTGAACACTAAGTAATGAGAGTGATTTCATGGTCAAAAAAAGCAAAGGAAACCGATTTTGTTTGAGGTGAATATGGAAGTAATTTAGTTGGATGGACTTTGAGAGCAGTATGAGGAGGCACTTGTTTGCATGATGATAACTAAAGATTGTCAAAAGCTTGCAGCCAATCTCCACACTTAAACACCAACCATACATGAAGCTAGTATTTACACATATGCAACCAAAAATAGTTTTGTTGCATAATATATAAAAGTAAATATTGTATCACCATTTCAAGCACATGCCTACAGTATTTACAGGAATGCATAGAAGACAGCAGAACACAGAGCAGCCAAATTCCTCCTTGAATCATATTTAGACTTTAAATCTTAAACTGTAGATTTTTTAGTGTTAAGAGAATTTTGACCATTTAAACTTTAACTGAATTTGCATTCATAATTTTTAGTTTATTTTATGCATAAGGTACAGTACATAGAGTTGTGTACATTACTATTTGGTACACGTATCTTTCTCAACCATTCAACCCTCACCTTTTACATGTTTTCCTATGAGATTATTGATTTCATTCTACAAGTTTTAACTTAGCATGATACTTGTAAGTTACATACTGTATCTGTCATTTTAACCAAGGAATACTGTACCTGTAATCCATCACTAGTGAAATTTTACTTTTATCCTCAACAGTGAAAATTGCCCTTCATATTTTAGCAGCAGTTAAAAATTTTGAGCTCCAGTACATCAACCTTGATACCACATCAGGATATAATTAGATAATTTAATTTTAATTCACCCTTTTGTGTTATAAAACATTGATCTACATGAGCACAATAACTGCAATGATTGTGCCTAGTGATGTCAAATGTCATGATAAGTAGATAATTTAACTCTCTCTTGCCAGGTGTCATGTAAAACAGTGGTACGTGGAACTGAGGAAATAGTTATCACACCAACAAAGGAAGAGAAGGAACACATTCTGGATTACATCCGTATGCGCTCCATTTCTTCAGGATACCATTCTGGTGATGATAAACCAAGGATCAAGCTTACCTCTATCAGCTCTCTTGATTCTCAGGTAAGGCTTTTGGTTGTATGGAGAATAGAAATAGGATTAACCATCAAGTTGAAAGATGAAGATTGTGTGTGTGGAAGTGGGCAGACATATTTTAACGGGTTTCTACAATGATAATCTCCCGTGGTATTATTGTCAGAGATGAGAAAAAGAAAATAATCAACTTGGTATAATTGAGCTGTGTTTTTTTTTTTGTTAAGTATATGTCTTTGTGATTGGTGGTATGTGCAATAAGTCCGGGAAGGAGCTAGATTGTTGTTTGTTGGACAAGTTATAGTGATGTATAGAGTAATATTGTTCCAGTGAAAGTTTATCTTAACTATCTGTCTGAGGGTTGGTGACCATGGCCTTCCCCATATTTTCGTACTTTAAGAAAAGGGGAGAGTGAGGCGGCAGTAAATGGTATTTGGTGTACATGGCCACACACAGTTTGACTTTTTCTGAGCAATTCACCAAAAATTGTGGATGTTCTATATCACAATTTAATTTTCAAATATTGCTTGGTTGTTTCTTTAACAGTTAGTTGGTTTTTATAATAGCCAGATTGTAAATTAGTTATGATGCAGTTCTGTACTTACAGTATACTGTACATTAGGGGGCAGGGAAAAAACACTTTTATTTGAGTTGCAGGCTGCACTTTTCAGGCATCGTTTGTATGGCTGTAACAAACACCTGTGCAAAATTTCATGCCATTTCATGCATACTTACCCTGCCGCATCGCGAACGACTTTTTGTCAACTTTTAGTGTATACCAAAAATTAGGTGTCATTTAATGTTTTCCAGGATAATGATAAATTTTACATGGGTGACATCGATTTAATTCACATGTTATTTTACAGGTACACCGTATAGAAAATCATTACAAGTTCATATTGAAATTCTTTTTTGTGCGGAACCTTGGCATCATTTTCCTAGACAATAATCTTTGCCTAATATATCCATCTCTCGATTCGTATCCCGTCACTTCAGTGCAAGCTTCAGTCATCACTTTTATGCCTCTCTCGACCGCCTGAGTGCTGTTTGGCCACTTGGGCACCACTAATGGTGTCTCAAGAATGTCATTAACCTGTAGATTTGACAGAGAAGCAATGTAAGGAGGCTCAGTCTTGAGTTCATTCCTCCAGTTAATCATGGAATGATAGTTTTTTGCTTGCCACTTTAGTTTCGGAGTCACCACCTTTCTCATGTTGACTACAGGAGGCACATCCTCATTCCCATCTCCATCTTTACCCTCCTCATCAGTATAGTTTAACAAATTCTCGTCAACAGCAGCATCAGAATCTTCCTCCTCCTCTTCAGATCTGCCAGTGCATTCTTCCTTTTGCTGATTCTCCTCTCTAATTTTTCTTATCATTGAGACAGCTTTTTCTCTAACAGTCATGTCCTCATCTGCACACATACCAAGAAGAAGTTGATCTGTGTGGGCGAAGTATGCATTTCTCTGGACAGCCTTCTTCACTATCGTCTCCTCCTCACTATTCAGGTGTTTCATATATAGCAGGGACTGGAATACGTTCCTTGAGCCGTGTGTTACGTAAGGGTGTATCTTGATGTAAAACCACATTGGAGCACTGAACTTTATTATTGTAATGACAATTCTTTTCAACTCATGGCTGGGTCTTGATGTTGCTACATACAGCCTGAGGATTCTACTCCATAAGGTGTTCCACCTTGACACACAGGGAGGACCTGGCTCAATAGCAGCCAAGTCATCTTCAACAACACCTGTGATAACTCCTTTACAAATCCTATTCAGGTATTTCTGATCCCAGGACAGATCTTTCTCCACTTCATCATTAAACACAGGGAAATCAGGGAAACTGACTGGCTGGAAGGCGACAACTGGAAGCTCAGACAAAGACTCCTTGATCTGCTTTCCAATGGGACCACGCCAATGCTCAGGACCACTTGGTTTACCATCATAGTGATAAAAAACTGTGCGGAAAGGCAGCTCATTTCCGTGAAGCTGACATATGATATAATGGAGCGGGTGACCAAGTAACATTTCAAGATGATGGATGACTCCATTTTCTGATCCTACATTTACATTGGTTCCATCACAACCAACACACACAATGGGCTGCTGGGTTAGATTTTTCTCCACCAGAAACTCGTGAATAGTTTTGGCAATCTGCTTTCCGTGTCCAGTCTTGGGAGCCACATGTGTGAGATATTCATTGCCAGGCTCAACCATGATGACATAATGATCTTTCACCATCATCCTCGAACTCCATTTCTCGGTCTTCTCATTCTTTATCATCACACGAGTGGCGGTCTTCTTACCATCAAAATAGAGTGACGTCAAATTATCTAAACTAGCCATCTCAATTTCTTGCCTCTTAAATCGGTATTTTTGTCTCGCATCCCGCAGCTTATGTGGTCCAATAACCTGACTCTTGTCATCCTTTGTGATAATGCCATAGTCAGTTAAGGTGGCAGTAGCAATGGCAGCTCCAGCATAATCACTAATCAAGTATCGGTCACAAGCGGCAGCCAGTGTAGGGAGTCTTGTCCGGTTCTGTGAACTGGTGTCTGTCAGAGCCCTTGGATCAGGGACAAAATCAGCATCAGTATTGACGAGAGGAATATCTCTTGAATCATCTGAATTATCCTCAACATAAGGAATATCTCCAGCTACCAGATATCTATGTTTTTGCTCAAGCTGTCTCCTAACTCTGTCCGCATCATGCTTCTCTCTTGCCGTCACTCTGTCCCACATCTTCGTCACTTTCATGTCAACCCCTGCAATCTTCATCTTCCTATCACCTCGCTGGTCAAGGAGAAACTACACCTCACGTTTGAATAATTTCAAGTGCGCCAACTTACCCAGGTCTCCCCTACATTACAGTACAGTAACACAACATTGAGAAATGAAATGAGAAAAGGCTGATAATCAATATAGACATAGCACCATACTCATCTGCAACAAGACAACGTAAATGAAATAAGAGATATGAAAAAAAAGTTGATAAACACTGAACAGAACATTGCACCGCCACAGCGGCTGTTTGGCTAGTACTGTAGGTAAATTTTAAAATTTCAGTAGAAAATGCGGCAGACTAAACCTCGACATATCAGCTTCAAATTTGGCATGGAGTCTTAGATATGTATAAGGAACAATGCCTGAAGAGTGCAGCTTTGAGCAAAATTTCACTGCCCCCTACTGTACATGGTCTTTGGAATTGGGCATCTCGAGTTTATAGAAGGCACGTTATATTGTTAGGAAAGATATCACACTAACCAGAACCATAGGCATCTGCAGGGCTTTCTTTAATTTGTTTCTTCAAAAGTACCGAACTACCCAGGATATTTTTATTAATTACATTGATTATCATAATTGTATAAACTGCTAGAGGAGAATATAAGTATGCAGAAACTTCAAATTTATAGATATTTATGAGAGCCACACTTGAGCAATACAGTAATATGTATCATATACTGTACCACTATGAATTATAATTTATAAAACATTTCTTTTTGAAGTTTACATATCCAAGTAATTTTACAGTACTACAGGTGTATAAACCATTGTTTTAATTCCTTTCTATTAACAGTCATGAGGGAAGAGATGAAGTTATTAGTGTGTTGTTCTCTGGGATAAATAATTACAGTATTACCCCGCCTAACGCGGTTTCACTTAACGCGTTTTATCATATACGCGGTGCCTCGCCAGAGCTGAACTTTCACTTAACACGGATTTTTTCCACATATACACGGTGAGTGTCCGGCTCGAGACGCTATTTTTAGATTTGCCCCCACCCGCCACCCTGCCTGACTGCCTGTTTTAGCTCATAAAATTCATACAAATTACCCGGCCAGAATATAATTTACATTGCTGGAATTCTTATAATTTGGTGATCATTTTGAATATAAACATCATATATTTTGCATTAGACATACAAATTTTAGATAACATTTTTTCTCTGGGTAACTATGTTATCTTTTGTGCAAAATATATGACATTTATATTCAAAATATTCCTGGTCTTACAAGGAATCCAGCAATGTCAATTATATTATCCTAACTTTAATCTGAGGTATTATTTAACCCCTTCCCCAACAATTTTTTTGTTAAAAACGTTTCTTTTTCAGACTAATTTTTTTATTTTGGTTCTATATAGTATTTTTGATGCTGGTTATGAAAACAGTTTTTAATTATTTTTTCTTCCCATTTTTGTGGTTAACTTTTTATTTTGAAAATACCTTTGTCGGCAAAAACGAGTCAACTCGTCTTCCTATAAACCATATTTTTTTACCATATTTTCTTAATTTTTCTCAAAATTTTATTACCAAATGTAAAGAGAAATGAAAACCTATTTTATTTTTAATTTTCAGTGGAATGTACTGTACCCATCCTAACCTTCCTTTGAACAACATAAGGCTCTCATCTATACATACATCTTGCCTAGGGGTGTAACACTTCCCAAAGTTCTCACACAATGTCATGAATACATCATAAATCTTATACAATTTTGGGTTGGGGTGAGTTTGTGCATCATGAGTTTCATTATCTACAAAATGAAGATATTGCTTTATCTTACTGTACCATTTCATAGTCATTAGCTGCCGAAAAATTGGTCTTTCAAGCAGTTCATCATGTGACCAGTTCATTTCTTCTTCTGGCATTTTCACAATACCCCCAAGCATTTTCATGGCAAAAAATACAAAAAGTTCAGCCTCTGTTACAGGGCGCCACAAAGAATCATCTTGCCCAGTTTGTTCAGCAAAACGATTAGTCTCTACCAGTACAGAGTCAATAATCCTTTTATCAATAAAAAGACTGAAGAATTCAAATGGACTCAGTTCTGCTGGGTTTTCATCAATCTTTATTCCAGGATTTCCTGTGAAAGGAAAACGTGGTGGTGGTGTATTCATACGCTCCTCTGACAACTCGAGGCTTCTCCAAGCTCTCCCCTCACCCTCCTCCTCCTCCTCCTCACTTGTCGAGAAATAGTCATTGTCTGATGAACTGGCAGAGTTATCAGAAGTATTCAAGCTTCTGAG